ATTCATATAAATCTTGTCTATATATATATAAAATTGTTAATAAGATTATTTTTACTTCTGACAATCACTTACAACAAACTCTTACATTTTCCAAAAACAACATTTCGTCTACGCATAATAACTAACTATTAACACTTTATCAATTAAAGATAAATTTGTAGGAAGAAATTTCTGTCTCCATTGGAATAAACTGCCTTACTATATTAAATCTAATGTAATTTATAATTCTTTCAAAAAACAATTGAAAACATATTTTTTATGCTGTTCATAACGTAAATTGTTTTATTTTATTTCATATTTATAATATTGACTCAATTTCTATTTTTTTTTTGTTTTCCTTAATTTTTAATTTCATTTCAATTATTCTAGATATATATCTATTGCTTAATTTTTTCAGTTGATATTTTTTATTCTTGGTAATGTGTAAATTCTGTTGAATTAGTTGAGATTTATTCTGTTCATGAGGCCATCCATAAATTAGTATTTTATTACTAGGATGAACCTTTTTACTTTTGTAAATAAAACTGTTCAAAAAAAAAACTTAGATTAATAACAATCAATTTAGAGTGTTAATATCTTATGCTTAGAATAATAAACATTTAATTTAGCACATTTAATTTAAAATTCTAAATTTTAAATCGTTTCTGATAACAACTTTCCATTGCTAATTTTTTTAACTTTGAGCTGAAAAATGATTTTAAACAAACTCTTCTTAGTAAAAATCTTCTTAGGAAAAATCTGGCATCCCCTCCTGGAATATCAGACTTGGCACTTTGAGATCCTGGACCGATCAGGACTGGCACGTTAAAGGATGCATGTCGTCATCATCGCCTACGATGGTTTGGCCATGTGAAGCGAAACGAAAACGATATAATAATTTCCGTTACTGAGCGCCAGGTGCATGACACCAGCCCAAGAGGTCGCCCAAAGAAGTCCTGGACGCAGACGATACAGAAGGACTTGAAGGAATTTGGTCTCAAGGAGATAGACGCAATGGATAGATCGGCTTGGAGACAGAAGCTGATGAATGGAATAAAAAGTCCATCCATAACGGGTGGAGACTATAAACAAGGTTTGATCTTCTTATTAAAAAAATTTTTTTCATTCTTTATAATGCAACTCTCAAACGCAGAACTGCTTACGTTTTATTCTATACTTATAATTAAACTTTTGTGCCACGAAGGCTGTACACTTTCAACAAAACACGACGCAAATACACATTTTGTATGCACGCGCAAGCACCGCATCATACGGGTATGGTCTTTGAGTTTCGGACAGACAGTATTCGAACCATGCCATCGCGTGATAGCAGCGCGAGACATGGCACTTCTGCTGACTGAGCTAACCCGATGACCATAAAATTTTAAGTAAAAATTTTCACTTAGGTATGCGATCATTTTATCAATTTAATTACTAAATTTATAAAAGTATAAACAAGTTTGAAACAATTTTTGTTATTATCAAACATTTTTAAACCAACATTTGTTTATCAAAATGTTCACATATTCGATTGTTTTATCAATTAAATGTTAAAAAGTATAAATCAATTTAAAGCAATTGATAGATCAGAGTCTCAAACTATGTAATTTTTCACAAATAAACAACAAAAACATTAATGTTTTCTTGCATAAACATAAGAAATAAACGATTTGTTTATTAATAAAATTTTTAAAATGATTGATGACACATAGGACACGCTTTGAATTTGGCAATTTCATTTGTGTATGCACATCTTTTGCAATAAGAACAGCACCATGCTTCATAAGATGTTATGAACCTACCTGTTGCAATGCAACTAAAAAATTTTGTGTTGCAGTTGGGGCACATCGATTCTCTGAAAAATATTATTAAAACTTTTAAAAATGTTATTATCCATTGACACTTTTCAGAATCTATTTCAATAAAACTAGTAGCAACTCTAAATTTACATAAATATTATTAAAAAAGTTGAATAAATGTTAAAACTGTCATCGAAGTAATTAATAAACAGCCAATTTTTTGAAAAGCAAAAAAATTACGTTTATTTTATGATTTTTATACGTTTATTTAGATGGACATTACGTTACGATTATTAAAATGCATAGCATAATTAACTAGCCATTGAACATTTTGTTCAATTTTGCCTTAGACCTAGCTAAATTTTTCGTGGCTTCCACTCAGGTTTCGTCTATACAGAATAATTTAATTTTTAAAACAAACCAGATAAAGATTCTAAAGTTTAATTTAAAAATTACTTGATACTAAAATGATTTTATTAAGGAGTTTTTTGTGCATCGTGTAATGCAATACAATGCTAGTTACAGGTTTAAGCATGTGCTAGTTATAGATTTTGCTTCGCGTTTTTTCTACAGCACGTTTTATTCTAATTAATCAAAAGTTGTAGTTATAATAATTTTTTTAATGTCATCGGTTGTTGTAATAAATAATTTTTCTAAGGTATACTTTGGCGAAATCGCAAATTGGAAACAAAATGTCCATGAGAGCAATTTTTTGAAACGTCTGTCCATGATATTTTTTACACTTCTACCGAAAAATGTTTTTGACTAAAAACTTAATTTTAATAACAAGACGCTATATAAACATTTATTGTTTAAAAATCTTTTTTGAGCAATAATTAGCATTAACAATCATAATTTAAATCACAAGTAAATAAACATATTTACAACTTACAAATGAGAAATTTCTGAGTGACAACTGCTACATTCAACTTTATTTTTAATTTCATCTTTTAGATTATTTCTGAAATTAGTCAGAAAAGACATTGACAATTTAAGTATTGCAGTTTTACAGTTTATAAATAAAATTTACAAAATAACTCTCAGCACTTTTTAAAAAAATGTCAAATTATATTGTTGAAGTATTTAACATATTTCTGGAATCTTTAAGTTATTTAAATTTCAAATCAGCAAGAGCAACATTTTTCAGAAATTGCGCCAATTACCGTTATAAATTAAAATTATACAATGACTTACTATGCAATTTAAAAACAGCAAAAATAAAGATCGATAACACACAAATTTGTGTTCTAATATGGAAAAAAAACATTTAGTTCGATTGATTTAAACCGAAAGTTTAAAATCAACTTCAGCACTAAAATTATTGAAATATCGGAAGAGCTCAATGATAAAACTTTTTTAAAACAAAATTTTCCACTATTATTACAAAAATGTAATTCTTGATAATTTTTAGAAAATATTGTGCGAGACCCGAAACATATGTAAACTTACGATTTGGAACAAAATTATTGATTGATTTTGTTGTTAACCATAAATGATGAAAAAAGATAAAAATAGCAAAAACAAATTATTTTTGGATGATTTTTCTAAGCAATGAATCTAGAGAATACAAAAAAGTTGTAGTACGGTATTATGTTCTTTTTATATAATCGTTATAGAAAACAAGAAACTTACGAAAATAACTAATCTTTTATTAATTATCGTAAAATTAATTTTATTTATCAATTATTTTCAGAAATTTACAATGATTTGTGATCAAGAATTTTAAAGAATAAGCAGATTTAAAAGTAATTTTAACAATATTAGTGGTACGGTCTATTTCAAAATAATTATTAACATTAGTTAATAAAATAGTTTATCGCTTTATTCCCTAATAATTTTCCAGACATTGGGTGCCTTTTAACATCGGTAACTTTGTATTTTCTTTTCAACTTATAAAAAATTAAAATAATGTAGTGAAGCAATCTTGGCGACGATTAATTTTATTTTCATGCCCTGTTAACGTTAACCAGTGAAATTAAAATCTACATTTTTCGCCTCTTTTGAATCGTAGGCATATTTTCCAGGCACATCATTTTAATTTTTGCATCCGTCAAACCTAACTTTGATGATCCAACGTCAAATCATAAAGATTGCAATTTTGAAAAAATCGGAAATACAAATTTTTGACTTTGTCTCCAAATTATAAAAAATGATTAACAATAGACGAGCCCAGCCGTCAACACCTCTACCAATTCTTTCTGAGTTAAAGAGTTAGACAACGTAATGGCCTGATAGTGAAAAGTGCCTCGTCCTGTTTTGCAGTCCGTTTAGTGACCGGGTATGAAAACGAAAAAGATTCCCGCCTGTTACATGTTTTATCAAATGCTTCGTTTAGCACGTATTCATGCAAGCTGTTTGTGTGCACCTCTAAACTTTAGAAATGTTCAATATACTTATAATCATTTTTAAATCTTCAAAACTGCCAATAGGATAATTAAAGTTGCCGCATTACGTAAAAAATGTTGCAACATCATCAGAAAAAATAGTTCTAGGTGAAAAGGTCGCCAGCAAAAGACCGCCGGACGTTAGGTCGCCAAGCATTAAGATAGCCTGACATTAAGATTACCAGACAATAAGGTCGTTATAAGGTAGAAAAGTTAAAAATGTCGCCATTGCTCTAAGGTTTGAAATTCTATATACACTACACTTAATTCGATGGTCTAAGGAATAATGTTTTTAATTTTCAAGATTATGACGTCGACAACAAAAATAAGTGATCGCTGGTCTTTACAAAACTTACATAAAAGTTTTTACATGAACACATGAGGGGTTCCATAAAATTTTAAACATTGAAATTCAAACTATGTGCAATATCATGGCATAGATGCCAACAGTTGCTGCGCGATTCTGGCCTAAACATCTCTAGATTTTTTTGCTGGCGGGCGGTTGTCGACCTTGAATGAGGCGTTCGATAGCTACCTGATTGAACTTCTGTCCAGTTCTCAAGCTATCAATTAATTTCCATATAGTTGGAAGATGTGCCCTAACTACTTCATTGAATCGGCGATGCCAACCCTCCACTGTCAGGTAGATTCTCAGCAACTGTATCAAAGAAACTTGTAATACTCTAAACAGTAGTGCATGGATGTGCAGAGCGAGTAATAAAGTCGTAGGTCAGTAATAAAATGCGATAATTTTTTTATGGGTCGATTATTACTATTATATTATTATTATTTTATTATTATATTATATTATTATTATCGATTATGATGCATGCGGTCTTATAGCTTTGCGACCTCTGTATCATGCGACCTTATTGTTTTGCAACCTTAAGCTGGCGGTCTTTTCATCGGACACCAAATAAATTGTTTATATCTCTATCAATGGATTCTCAAACCAAACACTGTAATAATCTTTTGAACGTTTTGTTCACAAGCAATTTAGATTGTAATTCCGATTTTTATATATATATATATATATATATATATATATATATATCCAATTCTATTTCAATTGTATATATATATATATATATTATTGATGAAAATCACAGCATGTTCGGCGTAAGTTAACTTCCAATTTAACTTTTCGATTTTTCCAACGGTTGATCGTAATCATTTTCAAGTTTCTTGATTTCAAAACCAAAATTTTTGTTTATTTTATGCACGATAGAACAAAAAAGCTTTTTTTTGGTATTCCTATACCATCTTCGGTGTTCAAATTAATATGTTGTGTATGTGCCCAGGTGCTCATATATATATACATATATATATATATATATATATGTTCGGTTGAAGATTACACCCCATTTTGCAGTTAGAAGTTTTTTAAATAAAATTTCAACAACACGAAGCTGTTTTGTTTCAACTTTATTAAACTGTGAAGTTTGGCTGACGGCCGTTTCGGCTAATGCCAATGTCGGAGCCTAGATTGTAAAACCAAATGAGAAGTTAATAATATAAATTATAACAAATAAAAAATAGAATATTAGATATTAAAATGAATAAATAAATGAATAACAACCTATATTTTAAAATTAACTCACTATATTGTTGAAAAAAAACGAATAAATTTAAAAGAATGTAAAACCAAATGAGGAGTTAATAATATAAATTATAACAAATAGAAAATAGAATATTAGATATTAAAATGAATAAATAAATGAATAACAACCTACATTTTAAAATTAACTCATTATATTGTTGAAAATAAAATAAACGAATAAATTTAAAAGAAAAATTATGAGTAAAATTGTTTGTGTATTATCGTAGTTGAAGTGTACATGGTTAGCATAGTGACGAAAAGTAATGCAGAAATTATGGGAATTCGATAATAATATTTAATGATATGACAGTTTATTGAAGAATTATTAGATATTTAACAATTGGATATAATATTATTTAGCAATAAATATGTATAAAGAAATATTAAGGCGTGGCAAATAATGAAGTTAGTGAACAAATTGTTTGAGTTTTATGGCGTGAAGAGACAAACGGATTGTTGTTAATGGTGCGTTCTTGTGTGTTATATTCGTATTTATATTTGGTGTGTAGTTGCTGTCTATTGATGACGTTTGGCAATTGAGGCAGTACAACGTCGCGATATTGAGTAAAAAGTTGTAA